TTTTGTATGGGTACTACATAAAAAAGAAAATATAGCCAAAAAATATTATCTATTTATCAAGATTACTAAACTGGATTTAATACTGAGAGCTTAGTTTGTATATTAACAAGGAGATAAACAGATGACAGCAAAGTAAACAGTTGAACACGGCTGATGAAGATATTATATATATGGTATATGGTCCGTATGATCTTCTCCACTCTGTTAAAACAAACTGATAAACTGAATATTACTGATGCTCACAAAAAGTTAACTATAATCGGCAGAAATTGTTCTCTCATCTTAAAGATATGAATTTATGTAAGGGACATATACAATATGAATTCAGTGCGATTCTCAAACACTAATTTCTATAATAAAGGCGTAGTTTACCGAGTCTTATGTTACATTTCAATCTGTTATTAGTAGGTGACCTAAGTTTTTGTTTCTTCTTTACTATACCATAGCATGGTTTTTATGTTAGCAGGTATTTCGCTGATCGTAGTTAAAAAGTCAAAACTATTACTACTATTTGTTATATAAATATTACAATAATCTATATAACTTTCATATAGACTGTATATTATTATTGCTAGAGTTACCAGTCTTATACTAAATTTGGTGCCAGTTGTAAAGTAATTTTTTTTTGAAATTTTTAATACTTCAGTCTTCAATATTTCAACGTATATAGTATTTCATCGGACTTATTAATATCGCTAACGCTACGTGAACTATGTTAAGTAGTTGAATTTTTCCGTCATTAATTTTTATAGTTGCTATATGTATCTATATTTATCTATATCTGCAAGGCAGATTAAAAATTCTTGGTATTCACTTTGGAAACAATTTTAATTAATTGTAATAATTCGTCTTGAAAGCATTATGTGGTTCACTAACTGTTCTCTAATGAATTTAACTCTTTTGAGTTTTAGGAGGCAACATAATTGATGAATATGCTTAAGTAGATTATCAAAATAATTTATTGGAACCCATAATCATGACCATATTTTTTTTAAATGTCTTTAAATGTCTTTCAAATACAATTGAATTCTGTAGTAATTATTTATAAAATAAATGTATTTTGGTCAACACTGCAAGTTTATAATAAACTATATACTATAATATTCAAACAGATTAAGAATCTTTATTATGAGGTTAATTAAATTAACTATTTGGACACTGTTCACACTGCTATAAATGAAGCATATTATATATTTTGTATTTGCTTCTGAATTTAAATTTTCAATATTTGCAACCAACGTATTACTTCTTCGGTGCTATTATTGCTATATGTTTTAAAAACTGAAGGTCACTTCTTTTGAAGCATCTCATCTAAATTTCATTCTCTTTCAGAGTTGTAATATCTCACAGAGTTGTATTCGAAATTGGTTTCATTTATATTTAATAATTACTAATTTACTTATTGCTGTCTTTCTCTCCTAGTGGACCATAGGGCTTCATAATTAATAATGGATGCAGGATAATGTCCTTATTAATTTTCTTGCTTTAAGATAGCTATAGCGCGGTATAGAGATTTTCATTTTTCGCTTAAGCTATGTATGTACAAAGTAGAACCTAAAGTTTTAACTATTCTCTATTAATATTGATATTTTGCAGTTAAATTGATAAATTAATTAAATAATTACCATGGTTGTCACATTTAAAGTGAAAAATCTGAGTTCTTATCTTAAATCTGACATCCCTCGTGTAGCAAGTTTAGTTTGGCAACAAAAATGTTTATATTCTGAAATTTACGATTGTTCAATTAAAGTTTAAATAACTCACGAACACAACATTAACGGCGTACGTGTTATCCTTCACTTTTAAACTGTTTTGTATGCTGCAAATAATAAAAATCCTTTGCAAACTGGAAACTGCAAATTTTCAATTCCAATTTAGATTTTCAATTTGTAACAGTTTTAGGCAAAGGAAAAGTAAAATCACTTTTCACTTAAAACTTTAAGTGCAAATTCTGTACGCAGTGGGCGATGTTGTATAGATAAAACAACTATAAACTTGTAGTGATTACTGTTGGCAGCTTCCTTTATTTATGTAGTCGACCCCCAATAGAATTTAGGAATCGATGGCTTGACGTCTATTCAGTGAGGCGAGCAGAAAAGTTTTAAGTCAAATGGTCAGCGTCAATATTCATTGCAAACATCAGCATAAAATTAGTAAAAAAACGGCCAAAAGGCAAAAACTTCAAAAACAGTTAAATCGAAAAAATCAACCCAACTTGGGTACGACTTTTACCCAAAAGGTAAACAGTCGAGCCAAATTTATCAAAAAAAAGATTGGCAGCTTCACAAAATTTTTTTTTGCGCTAAGCTCGAGATGAGCAAAAACGGCAAAGGAAACTTTATAATAAAAAGTTAAAATGCTCTTACTAAGTCGAATTTATTTAGTATTTATTTAAAGGCTTATTTATTTAGAGTAAATACTACCTTTTTGGTCTAAATGTTGTGTGTTTTTGCAGTGTACGTGTGCCAAATGGAACCTGAAAGTGGTGATGGGCTTGTGTTCGCTTGTTTGCTTTGAAATATGTGCCTTTTTTGTTTACAAAATGCTTTAGATTTTTAACAATTTATTTATGCATTATTCGTTGGCAGCGCATTTATTGCTCTGGCAACATCTAAAATCCGGAAATTGTTGTTGATGTTGTTCTGTGAGGCTTTTCTCATTTAATAGGGATTGATTTTATACCCTTTTAATACATTTTATTTGACTTAATTGAGAGCTGTGGTAAGATGTTCTCACTTCAATGCAAAAAGCGGTAAAAAGGTTTCATTATATTTGTTAACCTTAATAAGGTAGAAAGTTTATGACTTCTTTAATTAGAAAAGAAAAAGGTTGAAAAAAATTTAATGATATAGAATAAAATGACTTTTCTTTGTGTGAAAAGTCAATAATATTTTGAATATTTTAAATTAATATTGAATATGATTTTTTAATAATACATAGACTATAAAGTCAAGTAGATTTAGTAGGTGATTCCTGAGAGATACATCAAACGAAATCATCAAATGATCAATTATTATCAAAGAAGATGGTTCATTTTTACAAAAGATATATTGATAAAGAATACATCTATCCCAATAACACCTTTGAAACAAAAACTATGAAATTTTAAAATTAGTTCACCCGAAAAGCTTCGCTATATATTTCATTTAAGTACATTAAGTTAAATGTTTTTGAATTTGAATTGTGGATATAAAATTGGTTATTTGGGCCAACTGGACCTATTGATAAATCCAGAAAAATAATTTAGTTGATATAACTAGATTTGAACTAAATATAAGGTCAAAATATTTTTACTCGACGCATCACGTTGGCTCAACCATTTCACATGTAGGCTTTTCACTCATGAAGACATGCAGGGAGTCTTAGAAAACCCAGAATGTTTTTAATCTCAACGCTGGATACCTACATGATATATCTTAAGACATGTTTGCCTAGAAATTTGCCCTGCTACCAGTTAGAGCTGGGTAGCTATAGAAAACCTGTTCTGTAGTCTAATTTTTGAGGAACTAATTCTTTTCCTAATAAATAATGTTGTAATAAAAATAACAATAAACGTGAAACTACACAATTGCTATGGCCCGCAAGAATCATATAAAAAAATTGATTTCTGTACAATAGTTTTGCTCTATTGCCCTATTGATTGTTTTCAAGAATTATTGTCAAAGTTGTGGGTCAGAAGAGATGGTAGAAAATATTCCTCAGTCGGTGCTAGGCACTTACTAGAGGATATTTATTTATAATAGGTTACCAATTTCAAAAATGTCTAATATATGAAGTATCTGTATTAAAGATATTTCCAATTTCATCTTGACACTGGAATTTACTGGTTCAAATAACATATGGTTCCTCAATCTGCCTGTGAGTTCATCTGAATACTTTATTGTATATTGTTAAGTTAAATGAATAAAATCTTGCAAATATTTAGTCTTTTTCGAAGATCTTTGAAAAGCCATCAAATATGCTCCGAAATTTAATATACACAAAGTTCATCAGCTTAAGCTTGGATATGAGTTGAAAGACACATAGATGTGCCTGTAAAAAAAAACCAGTAAGTAAGTGAGTAAAAAATCAATATGAAAAGAATAAAAATATTTTCAATGCCTGACTTAATTATTTTAGCAAATGATGTGAATCCAACTTTATTGAATGCATAATTAAATTTGTGGTGTTTTATTTCTATATCAAAACAAAACCTCGTATATGCATTAAACTGTTAGGCACAGCCAAATGCTTTAATAATTAATCCGTGGTTCATTCTCTAATTGAATTCTGCGTACACTGTTCAACTTTGCATAAATTAAATAACTAAAGCCCAGTGGAGTGTGGAATGTGTTATTTGCAATAAATTCCAAATAAATCAGTCCAGATTCAATATTGAATTGGAATTGCAGTTCACCATTGGCAACTAATGAACTGCAGTACGTAAGAGACGAGTTGATGATAAGTACGTACAGTCATGGAAAATTCGAGTACGAGTGTGAAGTGTAAAATTGCTCCGTAATTTCCGGATACATATAAATTGTTCTAACAGACTGCCATTGCATATGTCAGTCAAATGGTCAACACTTTAAATGGACCTCATTTAATTGGCGCGTGAGCACGTAGTTAATAAGTTTTCACAGTGATTGCTTTCCGACTGCACTTACCTGATTGTTATTGCCAGTAGGATTAATGGGCTTTGGGCGTCGTCTATGAATGCGTTTGCGTGCGGTTTGATAAATTTTCCAATACAAAACCAATATAACGAACAGTGGCACGTAGAAAGTACAACAGGTGGCAAAAACCTAAAAATAAAAATAAAATAAAATGTTGAATTTAAGAGCATTTGCGTTTTAGAAAAAGTAATTGCATATAATATGTATAGTGATATACAATGAGGAATACAAGTTATAATAAGATATGTATATTAACACATTTAAAAATATTTAAAACTTCAGAGCCGTTTCAAAAATAATATATTCTTAGTTTAAATAATAAATTATTTCAAAACTGAAATCAGGAAATCATCCAAATTATCTGAAAATAAGAGCGTTAGAGTGACTGCGTCAATCCATCATTATTAAATCTATCTATCTAGATCAGTAGTTCCCACCCTTTTTTAGACCAAGGATCACTATGGTAGTTTTGTTTTTAGTAGGTACCACAAATTTTAAGAATAATAAACTGTATGAGATTTTTAATATGTTTTATACATCGCTATACATAAATTGTATAAGTGCGTATGTACATTATATAGACTATAAAATTTGTATATAAGTATTTGGAAATTATTTGTGCTTATTTTCTAATAAGTTTGGTCGCAGTGGACAAACTACGAGCTATATACCTATATACCTATATACCTCCTGCTAAATTTGATTCACGGTCCATTACTGTTAGTAAGAGATTGATGTTAAGTGTTAGTTTCCTTCATTACCTATATTTGTAGGACAAAATTGTTGACGGTGAGTAATAATCGGTGAGGAGTTAAGTTACATCAACTGCACCAAACAAATTTGCGTCTAAGCCTTGCTAATAACAGCTCACGTCCACTTTGCTTGGAGGATAATTGCACTATGGATCATGCTTTATGCTTTTATCTACCTTTTCAAGACACAGACTTTAAGTACTAAAGTCGAACGTCATAAGCAGCTTCTTACCTCTTCCAAACATTCTTCGCTTACTTGAAAGGAGGGTTATATATATTATGTTTATTTATGTCTAAATAATTTTTTAGACTGCAGGATCCAATGGCTGAACTCGTGCCCTATTAAGTTTGAAGTGCAGCGTCAGTATATACTATACTATAGAATTATCTTGTAATCAGAAATGCTAAATCATTTCTTATTTCTTACGAAGCTTTATTAAAATATTAATAAAAATTAATTCGTTATAAAAGCTAAATTGCACATACAGTACACTTTACTTTAAAAGCTTCAATTATGATTAATTTGCTATATCTATCGTTTTTTATATACATTTACAATATAAGTCATATTTTTGTATTGATGTAAAATAAAATTCACTTTTTAAACTTTAAACTAAAATTTTGTGAATAAAAAATTCTGCAGATATCATAGATGCAGAAAAATCAAAATATAAAAACAAGTAAAAACTAAATAAATATTCTTTAACTGACAATGCAGATAGATAAAACTGTCGAAAAATCTGATATAAAAATTTGTTGAAAATTTTGAAATACTTTTGTTATACACAGCTCAGAATACGGAATGAGTTATGAGCATATGTGTCAATACATGCAGAGAAACATTTCAATATTGCTTTCAGCTTTTTAAGCAGTACAGTACGTGAAAAGAAGAAGTATAAAATTTTATATGTTGAAAGTATAATGAAATAGCAACAAATTAAATTGTTCATACAAGATGAAGCTGCAACAAAACAAATTGATGCATAATTTGCATATATCGTAGATTTGCATATATTTTTTCCACATTCTCATTGCAGCTGTTGCCTAGAATCTCCATTGAAAACGCAAGCTTTTGCAGTCTCTATGAAGTGAAGTTCAATTTATTTTTAATGGAAAACTGTCTTACCTGATATCCAACATCCTGTGAGACCATACATTTTTGCTGTTCAATACGCTGCAAGTAATCAGGATCTTTCCAACCAAATTGTGGTGCTAAGGATATAACAACTGAAGCTGACCAAACTAAGAATATCATGAGAAAAACTCTTCTGCTTGTACGAGAATGTATGTAATCAATATTGGTTACTGCCCAGTATCTGTAAATATATTGAAAGAATACCTTTTATTATATTTGAGCTCTTTTCATATGAATATTAACATTTATTTTTATTTGTTGTTTTTTTATTTTTAAATCAAGGAATATTGTTAAAGAGTTTTTTCTTTTGGAATATGGAGTAAATATATTTTTATGTTACTGTTCTATTAAATAAGGTGGTTTAATGGCATATATTATCATAATGCTTTTCTGAGTTTCTTTGCATAATAAAATTTTTCCTTGTTTATTTTATTTTAATTAATTGAAAGTATTACTATGTTTAGATACGCTTTAATTTCGCAAAAATCTTAATTTAATCTTCGCCGCATCTTCGAAATAAAGTTGTTTTTTTCATACAAAATTCTGTCTTAAGGTTAGAACGAAATTAAGGAAAATGTCCTTTATTTCGTTGAAACGAAGGCTGAAATTAAGATACATTTGAAATGCAACTATGCGTAAGTTAAATTTTAAGCGAAAGATAATGTTAAGATAACGAAAAAAGGACATTTTTTTAAAGTAAATGTCAGTGATAGTTGATTTAAAAAACGCCGGGATAATATTTTTAAAGTAGTGTAAATTTTTAAATTTGAATATAGAGAAAACCCTGTAACTGATATTAATTCAATAATACTTTAACAATAATTCACATTTCTGAAATCCGCTAAAGTTAATAAAACTATAATAATAATAATATAATTTTAAAATTTCCCAGTTACAAATAGTGTTTGGAGCACGTAATTTTTAACATTCTATTTGTAAACAAAAAATATATGATTTGCTTAATTTGGGGCAGTATGAACACTTTCTAAATTAACTTAATTTAATTTTTACGAAATTAAGGATATTTGGCTGTCTGAACATGGTATATTGGTATGCCAAATAAGTCTAATATTTAATATGTTCTTTTATTGCAGTTTTTATTACAAATTTGGTTTTGGCAATACGTTTATATGAAAAAACAGAACAATTAATTTTAACTTCGAATACCAAAAAGCATTAATCAATTTTGTGCTTAAATTTTTGCTTTCAGCAATCAATTAAAAATCAAATAGTCAAAAAATAAAGAATGAAAATTATTTCTAATATTTTTTGTAAACTGAAAACAAGCGGGAAAAGGTTGGCAAAGCGAAATTGTTTCACTTTTAATTTATATTCGCTTTGCGTGCATTTGCAAGGCAAAACACAGAAACTTTTAACACAGAAACTATACAAAAAAAAAACAATATAAAAAAAAACACAAAACTGCACCTTTTGAATGTGTTTCTTTTCTTCTATTTTTGGTTTTCCTTGTTTTTCTACAAGGATTTGAGTTCGTGCTGGTGTTTGGGTGAGAGTTTCGTGTATGTGTATGTGTACGTGTTTGTGTTTGTGTAGCAGCGCAGCGAGCACCATTGACAAAGCAAAATTTTGTGTTCGATATTCAGTTTCCGTTTCTGTTTTGAAAAACATATTGTTTCGAGAATGGAATTTATTAAATTTTCATTTAACTTTGCAAATTTGTCTGTATT